AAAAACACTGCTTTATCTAACAAATTTCACTCATAACGCTAGGTTCAAGCCGTTGTATAGTTTCCAGAAATGTTATACATAATGTCGTTCACTGGGATCCTCACCCTAGGCTAATATAAGAAAATACTTGACAAATTGACCATAACGAGTTTTGAACCCAGATTTAATGATCAAATCGCTAACGTTATATCCACTGGGTCAGGATTTCGAAATATTATTAATAAGCAATGGATGCATTGGCCAATAGCTATACTATTTGAAAATCGTAAACTGGCAATTTAGCATAGATTACTAAATGAGGAAGACATGGCAAGATTGTAGATTTTGACCCCATTTTAAAATGGCAGGCGTTATGAGAAAAGAAAGGCGAACAAACGATTCACATGTGAAGATTTTTTGTAAAGTGTTAAATTGATTTTTTAAGGAAATCTTATGTATTCGAATCAATACAACCGAAAAAAACACTATTATCTAACGTGTCATTTAATGGAACACATATAGCTATGTATTATATGTATTTATTATTATTATATTTATCATAATTTTTATTTATTATAATCAATATAAACACGATTTCCCATCAGCGACTGCGTTTCTTCTTTGAAGAATGTCATTCAGATGAAAAGCGTAACATATATATAGCAAATGAATACGATATTGACCAATTAGAATATTAATGTATTCTAATTACTTTGCGATGTAGAGGGGTTGATCTTATTTTAATCTCAACTAAACTTTACAACAACTTCAAAGAAATCTTAACTCCCCATTGAATTGTAAAGAATGTCAAAAGAAATTCTTTAATGTCGTCTGTATGTTCACCACTGGAAATTGTTCGTATGAAGATCTGAAGAAAAGTCTGAAAAGCAGGCAAGCAAGAAAAAGAAAGAAAAGGAAAAGAAAAGGAAAATGAAGAAAAAAATTATAAAATAGGAAGGCAAATAGAAAAAATGATGAAAGAAAGAAAAATAAAGGAAACCGAAAGCAAAAAAAGAAAAAAAAAAAGAATGATAATTGAAGAAAGGGTAAAAGAGAAGAAATGCAGAAAAGAAAGAAAGAAAGGAAGAAAGAACGAATTGAAAAAAGAACGGAAGTACGAAGGAAGAAGAAAGTAAGAAAGAAATGAAAGAAGGGAAATTGAAGGAAGATACATGAAAGAAAAAGTTTGACGTTTAAAAAAAAAGACGGAATGATGAATGAAAAAAGAAAGAAAGAAAATAAAACTAAAAATTGTCAGAAAGGATAGAAATTTAAAAAAAAAAGAAAGAAATTGAATGAAGAAATGAAAAGAACGAAGTAAAAAAGAAGTCTAAAAGGAAAGGAAATAAATAAAAAACGAAAAGAAAAATTAGAACGAAAGAAAAAGGAAGCATATAGAAAGAGGAAAAAATGTAAAATGAAAGGAAATTGAATGAATAAATGAGAAAGAAAATTGAATGAATAATTAAAAGAAAACAGAAAAAAGAATAACGGAAAAAAGAAAGAAAAACAAAAAAACTGAAGGAAAATACTAAAAAGCAAAGATGGAATGAAAAGAAAGAAAACAAAAAAACGACAAAAATTAAATAAAAAGGTTAGAATAAATGAAAATGGAAGAAAACAATGTTAAAATCTAAAGCAAAATAAAAGACGATAAACTGGCAAATAAATTTAAATAATTGAAACAAGTTGACAAATACGAATGAAAATATAACAGAAAGTTTGCAAAACCAAATAATCAAAAATCAATAAAAGCAAAAAATAAAAAAAAAATAATAAAATAAAAGATAGAAAAAAATAAATGAATAAATTAAAAAAAAAAAAGAAACAATTTGAGTGAGTCAGAAGGAAATTCGGCCAACATTCAGCCATTTTGATTTTCTATGATCAGATGGGCGTTTTCTTATATTTCTCGCCGGTTGTGAATTTTAAAATATAACAAAATGAAAAATTCAAATCGAAAGAGATAAAACTGCAAATAAAGCAAATAAAAATTTCAGTTTTCCTCATTGGACAAATTCCAGGAAATAAACTGGGATTTACTCTTTAAGGTCCCAACTTCCTCTTCATCGATGACATTTATTTGCTCGAATTCATTTTGAAAAAAAACAAACAAAATATAAATCACGTTCATTGCACATTCTTATTCTTGTCCTGAATTTTTGTTCAAACAGTTCCGGGATTTATGATAATGTTATTTACTTTATTTTACATTAAGCCTTAGCGTGACACAAGGCCGTGGGGGCGCTTATTCTGCTTACCCATCTAAATGTTTGTCGGGTACTTTTAATGAAGCATAACTTTGGTGATGAGACAAGAGCCGTCATTTGGTGTATGAGAGGAAGATGCAAAATGTTACTGATTTTATTTACAAATGTTAGCACAAGGCTATAATAGTCGATCCCCTAATGAAGATCGAATTAGTCGATACGATGTAATTGCTAATCATCTTAAAGTAGGCCTTCTAAGGATTGAAAATGATGATTAGAGATATTTTCAAAATTTAAAACTATAGCGATAATTTTTTTTTCTTCAAAACGACTTAATACCAAATCCAATGAGTTTAAAATATGCTTCTTTAAAATATATTCGGGATTATTCGGAATTATTACAAAAAATACAAAATCTATAGGTAGCATTGTTGGGTTAATTTTTCACCTGGCTGAGGTTGCAGGAGCTGAAGCAGCCAACTTTGGTTTTGAATAGCTATCCACCCATCTTACTCATCACATTTAGTTCCATTTGACTTTTCCTGTTTACTGAACTCAACCCCCCCTGTTTGGTCGCAATTTTGGATCAATGATGAGATCATATGTTCCATGGAGGAGTTTTTGAAAGACTAAGCCGCCACCTTCTTCTGTGATCGGATTGCTATTCTTAAGCATCAATGGAGCAAGTTCTTTGATGTTGAAAAATACTGAAAAACGGTCTTGTTTCTATAATTCCTCTGGGCGAGATTTGAACGTTTTAAACGACCCTCGTATGCACTGAACATTTTAGGTACGAGGAAGTTTTATTAGTGTCGTGGTGTTCTCCCTCTAAAGTGTCTATGTTAGACTCTTCCGCCTACTATAAGATTAGTAGGAGAGTAGGCTTCGGGCAACTTTGAATAGATTGAGCGGGTAATATTCTTCTGGTGTTCTTACTGTTTAATATACGACATATCTGCAAACCTGGTTTTTGTTATTACTTAACCATTTACTTGGTCACAACATCTTGGCGACGAAGAAACGGACTTTACACTAAATCACATTTTTTTGCCAGTGGTGAAGAGAGGAATTCTAATTAATGATGAACGACTTCCTGAGAAACTTCAAAGTGGTTACGCTGGTGAGGAAATTGTCTTATCCGCTCTGTCGATATAAACAAAGTCACCTTGAATATGAATTTGTGTGCAGGCATCCGAATTTGAAATTCTTCTGGATTTACTTTAGTTCTGTATTCTTCATTTGGGATTTGGGACACAATTTGGGAACATAGAGTATAAATTTATAGTGAAAACCCACGTAAATAGCGAAAAATGGCGATTTTTACTGACTTCTTTCTTATTTTTCTTTGATCATTTAACCAATTTTTATCAAACTTAACAATTGCTTCATAAATATTTTCTTTTACATCCCTGGTAGCACTCAGATAAATTGAATTTCAAAAACTCCAAAATAATTATGGTCTGAAGTGGGTTTTCATATTATCTGTTTTATCCCTTCATGTCCTCGCTTAACTTCGATTGAATAAAGATAGACTACTTCTGTTATATTAGTAACTACATTAATTCAAAATGTTTTTTTAAATGAAGGTATTTTAAAGTAATTCAAGAATATAGTCCCTGTTACATCTCAGCATGATGCTGTTTTTGATCCATTCTAACTGAACGCTATTTTCTGATCGACCAGCTGGGTATGGCCGCTAGTGTACATATAAAATGTTATAGCCACGAATAGGAGTCGAAACAAGCATGTGTCTGAAATACTCTTTGACAACTTTCCATCTCAAAATCAGATAACTGGCACCTCATAATCAGATGCTTCGAATAGATGGAGTTCATTAGCACCGAAAGTCCATCTAGGGGAAGAAAAACCTCCGATGCCTTGCGGTCATATCCAAACACGGAAAGGCTATAGAGGGAAATCCAGAGAGAAAACTCGAATTGAAGCCCCAAAGATGACTGGTTGTCAGCATTAACAACCATTCAGAAAAACGTTCAACCAATCTGGTCCCAAATGTAATGTATTCCTTTGAGTCTTGTCGCTTAGGCCGAGAGAGGGGGCATGGGGTATGGGCAGCACACGGTCTCCTTAGACGATCGACCTGGCCTGCTCCCTGGAGAGGTCACTCCGGTTTTATCACCTGATGAGAAAACAATCCCAAAGGCAGCATTTTAAGGGTTATAAGTCAATACTCGACAGTTGTGGAGTTGGACGCAACCAGTTGTCTTCGACAGTGGGAGGGATCAATAACCGCCTGCCTCAAGCCGGACAACCCCCGGACAACCCCCGGACAGTAGGGTGTTGTTCTGTTATGCTCTGCTTGCTTCGGTGGGTGGCTGAAGCTTATGGCTGCCAAGTCTAACAATCAGATCGATAGCCATGCACCAAACAAACAGAAAAATGGATAAAATCATAAAGAATCCAGCTCTTCGTATCATAAGCTGGAAAGTGCGAACAATGCTCATAGGTTTCAGAAAACGGAGGAATCTCGCGTTGATCGATCGTAAGCAAACAGATTAAACATTAACTTGGCAGCTCTACAGGAAACACGGCATCCAGACAATAGATCTCTAAAGGAAGAACATCTATAGGGAACATGGAGTTAAATTCGCTGTCAGGAACACGCTGCGCCGTATTATTACAAGTGGCACCGAGAGAATTCTCATGCATCGTCTCTCTACATGTTAAGGCCTTTCTGTTCGTCTATGGACCAGCACTTCAAGCCCCGCCCGAAGTCAAAGACCAACGCTCAAATTGATATTGTCAAGCGTATCTTATCAGCATGTTCACCTTCTAGGAGACTTCAATACGAGGATGGACGCCGGTCAAGTGTACTGGCCAAACGTGTTAGATAACCATGGTATAGGGAAATGAACGAACATGCCCAAACACTTCTGGTTATCATAAGCTGTGTGTGACAACCACCTATTTTCAGAACAAAGCTTGCCAGAAAGCATCCCGGAGACAGTATTTGCAACACCAGAGCTCTCACTAAAGCGCCGACTACGACATTGACCACTCCCCGATCTCCTCTGAGGTAAAGTTAAAACCTAAAAGACGCTACTACTTAAATAAGAAATGCTAGAATCTGTCTATATTTCTGAGATGAGGTATTATGTACATTATTTACATTATTCGGACTAATGTTGTGATAAATATGGCGATAAAGATGAGGACATTAGTCCGAATAATGTAAATAATGTAAGAAATGCTAATTGAAAATTATGTCGATAAAAACCAGAGGTTTAAGAGAGGCGTAGGAGACTCATCACAGTCCGTGTAAGACATATGGAACTCCATGAAGATCGCCATCTACAATGCTGCAACCTCGACCTAAGAGTAAATAAAGGAAATCTAAAGAAGATGCACCGGAACAAAGATTGGTTTAAAGTTAATGTCTTTACATCAATGCCAAGGGAAGTAAGCTGAATAGATTCAAGTGTGACCCTAGTCAGCAAAATCTGCAGGCTTTAAAACCTGCTCGTAGCAAAACCCAGCAAACTGCACATCGCTGTGTAAATGACTAATAGCTCCATTTGTCGGATAGTATCCAACAGGTTTCGAACAACTCTAACCTCCGAAAATTTATGAGGGCATTAAACAAGCAAGAAAGAAGTCTGGGTTAGTGTGCAGTATAAGCACCAAAATCACCCCCCAGTATTGAGAAATGTACGATTCTGGTGTGAAATTGTCTGTTTATTTCGAAAATGACATTAAAACATTGCGCTCGATTACCGTTTAGAAGTTATGGACAATGTAAAGTCGACTTTATCTCGTCGTGTACACAAAACGTCCGCCATTACTTTAGAATAAAACAAAATAAAAAATACGTGCCTGAAAAGTAAAAAAGGGATTTTTTTACTTTTTTTCAACAAAGGTTTTTTATGTGTCGTGATCGTTTCTTTAAAATAACATCCGTGAAAATCGTGCAGCAACCAAGACCAGTAAGATACGAAAAGCTGTAAAAAGGCCGTTAACTAAGTAACCCTCCACGCATTACAATTAGAGGAAAACGTATGTAAACAACGCCAGTAATGGCGGTCGGACAACACGAAAGAAATCAAACTTACATTGATGATAAATTGAAAACGGTAATCGAGCGCAATGTTTTAATCTCATTTTCAAATTAACCAGTCAAATTCACACCAGAAAGGTACATTGTCAATCCCGGGGGCATTTGGTGCTTATACTGCAAATTAACCGAAATCCCCCCCCACACACTGAAATCAAAGATCTGGAAATTAATTACTGAAAAAAGATAAACAAATAGGACCATGGGGAGAGCACTTATATAGAAATTTATGCAAGAGAAAAATCCGTCACTTAAGAAACTCTTGATGTTATTGATGGTCCACCATTCCTGGAAGAGCTGGAATCAAAAGCTCCAAAAAAAGAGCTTAGCAAAGCTATTAACGCTCTAGCTTGCAGTTTTAATGCACCGAGTTAAGACGGCATACTGCCGGAAATCATTTCAATCGGTAAGCCAGCTTACTATATAGTTTCCTGAGCCTCTGCTTGAGAGAAGGCAAAAGGTTCCTCGGGACATGCGCGATACCAAGATATCTACCCGGGCGACTGCAATAACTATCGGGGTATCATCCTTTTAAGCATTGTTGGAAAACGCTTTGCCTGAGTGGTTTTAGCGCGGCTCCAAGTCCTTGCTGATCCAGAATCCCAATGATGTTTCATGGTTAAAACATCCCCAACTGACATGCTCTTCTCTTGACGTCAGCTCCAGTAGAAATGTCAACAAAAGATGCCGCTATACATCGCCTTCATCGATCTCTCAAAGGCGGTCGACTTTCTTAGCAGGAAAGGTCAGTTTCGGTTACTAATTAAATTTGTTTGTGCTCCAGAATTACTGACTATCAACCCCTCTTTTCACAAGAACATGCAGTGTGTTGTCAGCTATGGTCGTCAAAATTCAGTGCCCTTCGCTATTCAGAGTGGCGTAAAACAAGGATGAGTTTTAGAACCAACTTTGTTTGGAATCTTTTTTTCCATGTTATTGAGTTTTCAGTTCAGAGGCTTCGAAGAATGTGTAAACTTACACATCAGAAGCAACGGCAAATTATTCAACTTAGCCCAGCTGAGGGCAAAGACCAAGATGAGTACAGTATTCATCAGAGAAGTGTTGTCTGCTGATGACGCATCCCTGGCCACGCACACCGAACACGATCTCCAACAGCTGAGTACTCAGTTCAACCATGCCTATGAGGAATTTGGTATGACTATTAAGATAAAAAAAACCCCCAAAAAACAAACGTCATGGATCAAGATGCTTTTGCATCTCCATCGATCAGCATCTATGACGTGGTGCAGCAGTGCGGGCTAAATTGAGCAAGAGAGTATTCAACAACAGTCAGCTGACCTAAACTAAAAGTATTGCAGGTGTATATCGTTAGTACTATGCTTTAGGCAGGGCAGCCAAATCTGGAAATAAACGCCAAGCGGGAAAACTGCCTGGAAATTATCCGTCTTCAGTGATTACGACGCATCAAGCGCCATCATATAGCGAGACAAAGTTACCAACACTGCTTCGGTGGAGCAAACACGTGGAGCTTACATCTACTTAACTGTCAACGTTGTCTTCGATGTCTGGGTGACGTACATCGTATGAATGAAAGCAATAGGCCAAAAGACATCATGTATGGTGAGCTCGTCAAGGAATACCGTCGGATAGACCGCCCAAAACTACGTTTCAAGGACATTTGCAACAGGAACTTGAAACGCACAGGCATCGACCCCGTAGCTGGGAACAGGTAGCAGGCGTTCGAAGCTGGTGGTGCCATGTTGTTCATGGCGGAATCATGAAGGCCAAAAAAGGCGAAATCAACTGTTGGAGATAAGAAAACTTAGAGAGGGCAAGGTCAGGAATTTAATCCACATTCAAGTTCCATCTGTCACACCTCCTGAGGAGTGTCATGTAAGGATTGGTCTGTTCAGCCACTCCAAACGCTTCTCGCAAAATGAAAATGTTTAACCAAAAAGGGCGCTGTCATTATCCCGCGAGATAAATGGAAACCTACTAATGTATTTTTAATCATCACTTTTTAAAAAAATATCATTGCCGTGGAGTGGAGGTAGTTAAAATAATAGCGGTATCAACGGAAAAACATCCTTTTGACACTCCGTTTTTTGTGATCACGCAGGTCCATCTTTAGCGTATTTTTTTCTTTCTATCCGCTCTTGTGACCATTTTCATTTTTTCTTTTTTTATTTCCATTTCTTTCTATTTTTTTTCTCTTTCTTTAATTTATCACAATTTCAAATAACATATTTGATCTACTTTTTCTGTCTCTCTCTTTTTTCGTTTTCTTTGTTTATCTTTAACAAGTTTTTCCTGCCATTGGTTTTCCATTTTGCTCTTTTTTTAATAGATCTTTTTCTTTCTTTTTTTTCAATTTTTCTATTCTTTTATTTTTTTTCTTTCTCTTCCATTGGTCTTTTCTTTTCTTTTTACCAGCTCTTTTTCTTCTTTTTTCTTTTCTTTTCTTTTCTTTACTTTTTTCTTCCTTTATTCCATTCTATATTAAGTTTGCAATTTTTTTTATTTCTTTTTGATTCACATGACTTTTCTCGTCCTTTCTTTCTCCCTCTCCTTCTCCCTTTCTTTATTGTTTTCTCCATTCTCTCTTCTGTTTTCCTCTTTTCGTTTTCATTCTTCTGCCATTTTCCCATCATTCTTTCTTTCCCCTCTTTTTCTTTCTTTATTCTTTTCGATTTTTTCCTCTGCTTTGATTTTTTTCATTTATTTTTTATTCTCTGAACTTTTCCTTTGTTTTTCTCTTTCATTTTTTTTTATCCGTTTCTAACCTTTTGTCGATTTTTTTCTTTTTCTTCCCTACCTTTTTATTTTTTAACATTCTCCAAACTTTTCCTTTTTCGTCTCCCTCCAAATTTCTCTATTTTTTTCCTTTCCTTTCTTTCTTTGGATCTTCCTAGTCTCTCTCAAATGAACTTTTGTTTTTCCCACTCTCTTTATCTCTTTATTCTCTTCTCTTTCTGTTCATTTCATCGTATTTTTCATTTGCTTTTAGACCACATCTTTTTTCTCATATTAAAAAAAAGGAAAACAAAATATCTTTCATTTTTACCAATTCTGAGATTGTCTGCTGATTCATTTAACAAAATACCTAGATTCCAGCTGACCGCATTCCAATTTTTTTCTGCTGACGCATATGTATTTACAAAAGATCCCCTCTTAATTTGCCAGCACCTGTTTTCTCTATCTAAAGGCAAGTGTGGCATCGTAATAACCATTCTTCAACATTTCCATGGCATTTCGAAAGAGCATAGTTTAAGCAACATCATGTCGGTGAGAAAGCGACTTAAATCGAGATGCCAGGTTAGGATCGATTACATTACAGACCATGTGATATATTTTCTTTAATGTACAATGTTTCTGGTTACGGCACTCCACAACTTCCTATCCTTAGTAGCAGTTTTTGTGACCTTAATATCAACCTGGTCTCTATTCTTCCACCCATTTGCATGAGCTTATTCGTTTAATCGTCGTTTCCCTGTCCGTCTTACCGTCTTGTGAGTGTCAAATTCTCTTAGCCCATTTTCCTCATTATGCGTTCTAGAAATTTCAACTATGTCTTTCTGATTCAAAATATATTCCTCTTCTGTGTGCCGAGTCCTTTATGGACATGGTCCTCCACTACTTTTTATTTCTTTTGGTCTTTAGTAGTTTTTCTTCTTTTTGTCTAGGTTACCCCACCTCACATTTCGCTGGCTATTCAGAAAAGCTTGTTAAGTAGTTAACTCGCTGCCTTCCCATATCCTTCTTGTGCTTACTGTGCTCCGTGAATGTTAAATTTTCCAAGTTCTTCTTCCATATTATGAGTCCACTGTTTCTTCATGATTCTGAGTAGAAGGGTTCTTTTTGGTTTTATTATTTTAGACTTCCTTTTTACGTATTCGGTCCGTCCATGGAATTCTCAGTATCCTTCTGTAGAGCCACATATCTGCTATCTCTCGTTTTCTCCTTATCCGCATGGGGATTTTCCAGAAATCACTGCCATATAATAGGATGGATATCATGTCGTAATCCAATGTGCTTTTTTTGTTTCTGGCGTTTTCTCAGAATTTTGCTTAGATTTTGGGAGGGGTGTCTCTTTTGTTAGTACACTTTCCCGATTTTTTTATCCTCTGTGTCCTTTTTATTTCCATTTTCGTTTAAACCTCGTTATTGCTCACATGTTCCGTACAAAGAATTCTCAGCATCATTCTGTAGTGCCATATCTCTGTCACTACTACAGCGTCATATAGGATGATTGATATAGTTCAAGGAAAGTTGCGTACTAGGCAATTGTGTTCATAGATATTTGCCTCCCTAGACAAATGCTTCTCTGGATAATTACATACCTCTGATAATTTTTTGAAGCTTTTAAAGCAGGGGTTCTTAACCGGGGTTATCCATACCTCTTGGGTGTAGGGGAATCAAATACTGGGGGTATAGGACTCGATTTCTGGGTACTGGTAGTTCCCCCCAAACCCCCGTTTTGTGTTTGACAGATTTCACAAAAACAACAGCAAATATCTCACTAGATTAGTAAAAGTCTGTTTTATTGTAGTCGAGATGCTAAAAAAAAACTTGCACATTTATGTTCTCGTCCTTTTTCTTGTGTAATAAACTGAATTATAACTTTATTTTGCTTTCAGTAAAAAAAATATAATAAAGTTATCAATGCTTATGGGTTTTTTTTCATGTTCTATTCCTAGCGATCCATAGCTAAAGTACAGTAAATACAAGCGATTGAAATATTTGGAAGACATACTGGCAAATAATAGGATTGGTGATAATTATTTCGACAGTCAAGTGAAATGGGTATGGGAGCATATTGGACAATCCATTGTGGGGTCTGGAATCATCAAAAGGTGAAAACCCCCTGTTTTCAAGGCAATTAGCATACATTTTGAAAAAAGCATAGTTAGTAATCATAAACTTTTAAAAAAGAAATAAATTAAAGATATTAAAAGTTTATTTTTGTTTAAATGCAGAGTCCCAAGATCTCCCTACACATCGCCAGTATGTTTTTGTTTCATTAGCGTTTTTCTTATGATAGTGGTTACTGTAATTTTCCTTGTCCACAAATATTTTCTCTCCGGCGTTTGATTTTCAAAACTTAGCCATGGATTCCAAATAAAAATATAATCTATAAAATCCAGAATCTATTAATTGTTTGTGGTACTCACTGCTGGAGTGAACTGAAACTGCTAGCTTAATTTTCTTCTGCTTTAAAAAAGAAAATATTCTCCCTTTCTTTATGGTAACTACATTTCTGTTCGTTTAGAGTAATGAAAGGTATTGGTTTGTTAATGTCTATATTAAACAACACTTTAAGAAAAATGGTAACTTTAAAAATTATCAGAGCTTAGCAATTATCTAGGGACGCATTTGTCTAAGGACGCAATTATCTGGTACGCAGCTGTCCGTCTACTGATTGATATTACATTCTAAAAAAAAAAAAAAAACTCTTCCTGTTTCTTAATACTGGGTTTAACTTTTTGAAGGCATATTCAAGAGCACTTCGGATTTCACGTCTTATGTAAACCTATGTAAATACAGTTAATCAATATAACATATATTTATATATCTCAGTCTATCTATCTATGTATCTACACTATTTATATTATTCGGACTGTTGTCCTCCTCTTTATTGCCATATTTATTACAATGTTCCGGCCGTTGTACGCTCCAGCCTTCTTCAGGTGGTTCTAGTTCCACGTGTAATGTTTTAATGGATGTCAGTAATCTCCTGTTAATTCCACTCTGATCTACCCACTGTGCCATTTGTCCTTGAGGACATCTGTGTATGAATTTCTGGGTATTATAAAGCTAATGTCTTTAGCAACCAATTTTTTACCAGTGGTCATATTGCAATTTTTTGCTGTTATCATTTCATGTTTTTACCAGAGCTCATATCGCTTTATTACAGCTTGTCTCTAGGACACATGGCACAGTGGATGAAGGCGTCAGTTAGATCCAGTGACAGGACCCAAAGAATGTGAGTTCAATACTCGATTAAGGCAGTGGAGAAATCTCAGAGGGGAATTAACAGGAGATAACTGACATCCATTAAAACATGGCACGTGGAACTAGAACAGTCTGCCCCAGTGAGCAAAATAAAGGGCTCAGTTCGACATTCCGACCACAGAGATGAGGACAATAGTCCGAATAATGTAAATAGTGTACATAATATCTCATCTCAAAAATATAGACCGATATCTATCTATCTATCTATCTATCTATCTTCCATCATCAACCTATCTCTGTGAGTCCAAAACAGAATGTAGCAGCCAATTAAAACGTTTAACTCACATTGATTATCTCCCTATCTTCTATGCCACCTGCTGGCTGAATTGAGAAAAAAGTTACAACCGCGTCGAATGGACTTAGCATTCAATTAAACAAAAACCACAACTACAACACAAAAGGCACATCATTTTCTTGTGATATATATATATATATATATATATATAAAAGACATTTTTATGTTTAACGTTTCAAAACAGAATGTAAACAGTATTAAATAACAGCCAATTAAAACGTTTAACTCCGAACCTGCATTGATTATCTCACGAGCCTTTCGGCAAGGTCGAATTCTATGCCACCTGCTGGCTGAATTGAGAAAATAGTTACAACCGCGTCGAATGGAAATAACATTTACCGGCCTGAATGTCCGCATTCAATTAAACAAAAACCATTTACAACCTACAACAAAAAACAGGTCGCCTCTAAGTTTGACTTCTATGTGTTTCCTCATCATTTATCCCATTGATAGCAAACCTTAAGTTTTTCCGATATATATATATATATATAATATATAACATGTATGTCCTACGAAGGAAAAACAATTTTTTTTTGTTTAACGTTGTTATTTATAGATTAAAAGCAAGAATAAAAAGATATTTAAGATAAATAGATTATTCTCTGGAATTTTGTCATGATAAACAGTTTTTTATTAAATAACACACCGTTTATTTCTTTCGTTGATCTTTGAATGTCTAAACTATCTTTCTTGAGATTTCTTCTTAATTTTCTTCCGACTCCTCGTTAGAAAATTATTCGTTCTTTTCATTATAGACAGGATCTTCGAACCTCAAGCATCCTATATTTTCGCCTTTTCTGGAACCGTCCATTTTTCACGCATTGTTATGGGATCTCTAATCTGTCTACCCATTAATGCGGAGGGACTTTGTCTCGGCCACAAAGAACCTTTCTCTAGACAAGGTTTAGCCCTATTTTCACTTTCTTTCTTGCGATTCCATTCGAAACTTCAATCTTCCAAAATGAAGGTGAGACCAAAGTTTAAGGCAACCATTCTTTGAAAATATTCTTCTTAACTTGTCTGTCGTATCAAAATGACGTCATATATTAAAAAAAAGCCCCATTGAAATGGATATGATCAATACCCGAATCTAGTCATGGGTAGACGATAAACTACATCTGGCATCGGGTATTTATTTATTAAAGACCCTTATTTTTATGTTTAACGTTGTTAAACCTATAGATACAAGTTCTGGCATTTAAGCCCTATCGTTCCTTTGGCCTCAAAAAGTGCTCTGTTTACATGATAAACAATATTAAAAACATAACATTTCGACCGGCCTGAATGTCCGTTCTCGAAATTTTACGGATCTCATTGGACAGCTAGAAAATATTCGTTCTTTTGACATAGAGATTAGAAGACATCCGACAAGAACCTGCATCCAACAACAATAATTTTCAAAGAAATCTCCGGGCTCATCCATTTACGC